GGAGAAATCACAGAGGGAATGATTTCTCCTCGCGCGTCGGTATATATACAGGCCTGAGGGCATATCCCTACTAGAAAGACTAATTTTACTAACAATAGATCTTCTATTCAAAGTGGTCGTCAGTGTCACAGATCAGGCTAATTTTCTACGTCTATCTTTATGAACTAATCAGAGATTGAGTTTGTCAGGAAAGAGGTGAAATGGAGTTATATATGTACTAACAACTCTCCTCACCTGACAGCAAACCACAGCCCAGGCCGAAACAGCCGTTAAGTCTTGGAGAATTTTGAGTTTGACAGGAAACGTTCAGGAGATTAATGACTTTCTTAAATAAACAACTGACATTAACTAAACTATAAACATCAGATTCTCTGATGTTTGGGCAACAAAACAATATAACTTCAGTAGCGATAAGAAACTCATGGATATCCCCACGAACGACATAAAATATGAGACTCTAGCAGGCAAACTCGACACTCACTTACTTGACAAGTTTTACTAACAATAAGGACAGTTGAAGCTTTCAACACCGCTCACAATGGATCTTGAATGTTCCAACTGTAAACACATATCTAGGTTGCCTCACCAATTGCAACCACAGTTGCAATTTCAAATTCTGTCATTACTAAGGAATAATGAAGTCTCGGGTACATTCTACATTGAGAAAAAACGGCTGACTCAGGCGTACTGAAGCGCTGAGAAAACGGACTCTTCAGATGGGGAACTTCAAAAAGAAAGCATAGCTACATGTTTTGTGGGCTATTTAGGAGGTGTCATCAGGCAACTTCCACTGATCCTGAACTAACACTGAAACAGTTCTGGAAGACACAATTGAACATCCAGCTGGCTGTAAAATTGATTGTGTCATCATGGCAAGAAGTCTCCACTAGATCCCTGAGTTCTTCATGGAAAGCACTGTGGCCATCAGTAGTCCATGATTTTGAGGGATTTCAGGATGACACAGAGTTGGACCAGGAGATTGTGTCCATTGGTCAGTCATTGGGCCTTGAAGTGGAAGAGGATGATGTCGAAGAGGTTGTGATGTCTCATGAGGAGGAACTTACTCCTGATGACTTGAAGCAACTGGACGAAATGTTAGAGGCTGACAATGGTGAGGAGGAAATGGAAAGTGATGACCATATGTCAACTAAAGAGTTGAAAGATGTGATTTACCACTGGGAGAAGTTCAGGGAACTGGCTTCAAAGCACCCAGATGTGGAAAAACTGAACTAACTTTGTGTCATGTTGAAGACTCAATAGTCTCCTTTAAACATAAGTTAATGGTGAGGAGAGATGCCCCACAGACCACAATTGACACTTTCTTCAGTAAAAGGCAGAGGGAACAAGATGCTATCCCTCAGCCTTCTACTTCAAGAAGGAGAGAGGATGTTCATGGTGGAGAATCTGTCAGTCCAGAGGTTCCTGACATTTTCATGGAAGGTGACTCACCTTCCAAGAAGCAGTAAAATGCTTCTCCTCTACCTCCACTTCCTTCTCTTCTCCCTTCTCCTCCACCCCCATTCTAATTCACATCATCATCATCATCATCCAGGAGCCTTCTACATACACACCTCAAAGTAAGTGTGCTTTACTACATTTTTTGTCGATTTTAGGCAATTTTCAGTGAGCTGGAACCAATTACCCAAAAACCCATTGAAACAATGGTTTCGGTTAACGAGTTTTTCGGTTAACAAGCAACCTTCTGGAACGAATTGTGTGTGTGTGTGATTGCGTGGTGGCGAGGTAAAGATCAGCTATTGGGGAGCACTTGGCAACACTGGTGCATGTTACCACTCCTATTCACTCCATCTGTCTAATCACCCAAACCTTTCAACTTTCTCACTCCACATTTTAAAATGTTATGTAACATAATGTTGAAGGGATACAACGTTGCTCATTTAGAATTACACTTGCCACAATCTCCCTCAAAAATACATTAGCTTTCGTCTTTATTCAATACATCTAATCCCCACAACTCCATGGGAGTGGAAAATACCAGTATTCGCTGTAACACAGCTTCATTCACACCCATATCATATAGATTTTTAGTTTTTCAATATATTTATTTTACCACATTTTTAGATAAACTATTCTGGATCATTTTAGTAAAGAAATGGAGTTTCTTACTCAATTAGAACTGCTTTGACAGACTCAAGTAGCTTAGACTCTTGAAAAACATTCCCTAGCACCCAGGAACATTCTGGGGAAGTGCGCGAGTGTCTGTCTGTGCAAGATGTCTAGTTTAGACACTCAGAAATTTTTTCCAGTAACCGGAAAACATTCCGGGGATAAAAAAATTCCGAGTTTGAGAAAGTCATCTAGTTACCAGGAAATCTCTTATTTCAGGAAGTGCTCTGCACCAATTATTCCGGGTAACGGGAATACTGTATTACTTTATTTTAGCTTGTGTAAGCTGGTATGGCAAACAAACATTGTCATAAAAATTTATGTACAGTACAGGCAGTCCACGAATTATGAACACATGCACTTACAAACAGGA